AAAAAAAGAGAAAAAAAGAGGCAAATTAGGGAGCTTATCCACCCTAGGGACCTGAACTTACTTGATTACAGAAACTGAATGCATAGAGTCATCATTAAGGAACTGACACAGAGAAATGTCAAGCTTGTCAATATTCTCCTACTGAAACAATAATGGGATTTAAAAGGTGGAAAATAATATAAAATTTAAAACACAGCCTTAATATTAGGAAGCATTTACCTTATCTCATTTACTTGTCTAATGACCTCTTCTTGAGTTTTCACAACTGTCTCAATCTCTTGCTGGGAAACCTGGTGGGGGGACAAAGAGATCAATGTATCTTTGAAAAAGCAAATGGATCGTGCTGCTGAAATTAGGCTGTGCTATCAATCACGGGGTTTTATTATTATTATTTACCTGTCCTTGTTGACCTGGAACACCAGTTCCTCTTTTAGTAATCTCATCTGTGACTACAGAGACGTATCTCCTCTGCTCATCCAGAATCATGTCCAATTGCCTATTAAGCTGTTTGATTTCAAGGTGAATTCGATTCTGCCCCTCAAAGATTTGCCTCAGTTCACGATCATTTACAGTTTCAAAAAAGTCATCCGCTGATGAGAAAAAAAGCACAGGTAGTTCTTACATATATGCATTCCTCATACATTGCATTATAGAGTTTTTCTTGCACCCTTAAAGTTTTCACATGGATATACTTTTTTCCCCCCATTTTCATGGCGAACGACACCCAAGTGGGATAAGAACAACTGAACAGAGATAACCACATATTCAATCCCAGACTCCATCTGAAGAGTTCCTACTTCATTATCTGGGTAATGTGCAGCATAAAATGGAAACAGGATGCTGTTGTTATTAAGAGGTAGCTATCTTTGCATAAGCTAGCACTGTATTAACAACTATCCTTCAAAAGATATTTACAGGCATTAAGTAACAGCTACTTTTGAGAAAAAGTAAGCTTTAAGAAGTAGCCTGAAATAGAGAAGTGACTGCACACTTTGAGTGAGTTCCTCCACAGCTTCAACAACATCAGCAAGAAGAAAGTCCAAAAGACTTTTGTGTCAAAGAGATCATTATTTCTCATCAATGGAAGATTGGGCAATGTTTCAAAAACACAAATGAAGACAAAATGGTGTAGGACCTTTAGAACAGTCATAACTTATCACTGCACAAAAAAAAGATGATAAACTGAAATTTCAGGTCTAGATGCCTAAAGCACATTCCTGATAGGTGTGTGTTCAAATATAGTAATTCAATCCACAAAAGAAAGACTGGCTTGCATTATATTTTCAACTAACCAGATTCTTTTTTGCCCAGCTCTAAAAATAAAAAAAATTTTTAAACAAAAACAACCCAAGCAAACAAACAAAATCCCCACCACGTTCCACAGTAGAACAATCAAAGTCAAATCACTTTGACTAAACACTCAAAAAAGTGTGCAAGAGTCATTATTATAACTTTCCTAAATTAAATATAACTTTATATCAGTGGAAAAATGCTGTTCAGTCCAAAATATCTTTAAACCAACACTTGCTGAGAGCTACAGGTGCATGGTATCAATAGCAGAAAGAGAAATTCTGCCTTCCACAGCCAAACTTAAATTCCTTATCAATAGCTTAAAATGTAAAAATAAAGGCCACAGTTTTTATGAACATCAAGCTGGGTATTTGGTTATTAGCCAACCCAAATACCAACACTGAATGCCAGCTAATGCTGTGGTGTTGAAGCTGACAGAACTCAATACATGTCCAATATCAGGCAAGCATTAATGTGCAGAAAGAGTCAAAAAAAATAACCTTTCAAATACATTTTCAAATAACCAAAAAGGCCATGTTTCCTTCATCATCACTTTACAGAGAGATACATGACCTCCTCTCCCTTCTACTGTTCCATATAGATTCTCATAATTCCCATCATGTTTCCATTTGTTTGTCTTGTTCTCAATCCATGCATGACAAAGGAAGTTTATATTTCAGAAAACACTTTCCAAAAGAACAATGATTCTTAGATAAAGTCAACAACATCAGTAGGAGCTTAGTAAGATCAGTCAGAGCATCAGGCCCTAGTTCTGAGTATCGTGGAAAGCAAAACAACTGAAAAATCACTCAAGTAACTTGCCTGGCTGTCCTTGCACATCAGGATGTTCCTTTTGAAATTCTTCTTTCTTTTTATCCAATTCTTGTTGAAAGAGTTCAAACTCTTCTTGATACTTATCTTTATCTTTCTGAGGAATTTCTGCATTTGGTGTTGGCTTTAAAACATTATTGGGGCGGGGGGAAGGTATGTTAAATTTTTTTTCATGTTCTCCACCACTCCTATACAACTTACTCTCCAGCAAGGCTGTTCATATTTGAGATTTCAGGACATAACACAATTAGCAGAGCACATTAATATATTAAGTTGAAGTAAGAAACTAAATATTCCTATGGAGACCCATAACTTCCAGATACATGTGTACTTTCTATGATTAAAAAGAAATCAAGTTTTACAAGGATAGATGCTGTTTAGCAGTACAGAAGTGTTCTAGAGGTACGGGAAGTTCAAAGCAAGAAAAGGTTACTTGTCCACTTTCCAAACAAAGTCTACTTTTTACTTTGTTTTCTCTGCATGTTTTAACATCATGACTTCTGTTGATTCAGTGTTGCTTCAATAATTCTGGTCTTGAAAATGTTAATTAAAATACTACTGAAACATTATAGTATTAGTCTCATTTTTCTAAAACAGATGACAGCACAGCTACGTGCCAAAATCGTGAAACAGGGACACCAAGCATGACTTCAGAGTAAATTCCATAATCTGCTGCTATATAAAAAACATAGACAATAACATATTTTACTAATTATGTATAAAGATGCTTACTACTTCTTTCCCAGGCTCTGTCAACTGGAAGGTCAGAAAAGACAGGACATCATGATCATCTGTATTCAACAAACAAAACAAACAACACTGTTACTGGCTACTGCTACACACTGCAAATGCTGGTACTTCCCAAGTCAACTTTGCACTTGCAAAGGATCTTCAGGCAACAGCATCCTCCCAAGAGTTTATGCAGTGGAGAATGAGACTGCACAATGTCTTTGTCAGGACAAATTGAAAGTCCTTCTGCTCTAGCCAGGAAAAGACCTAAGAATATCAGTATCTTGGGAATGGGAGAGGATTAATTACATCATCACAGTGAAAAATTGGTATAATGGATCGACATTAGCAGTTAAAATAAAAATAAAAAAAAATAATTATCTTGCAAGCCCAGCAAGTTTCCACACCATTTTCCCCAGTTTGCAACATTTGCTACCTGCAAGTCCCCCTGTTGCTGCAGATATTCCAAAATATCCTTGTGATGGCAACACCATATCTTCCACTTTTGCGCAAAATTCATAGTCTTCTTTATCCGGAGTAAAGCCATTGTTAATTAATACCTAAAATGATAAACACCCACAATTTTTACCACATAAAGCTACTTGTGTTAATTGCTTTGTCAGTTTACAGTAATGGTAACAAATACAACTCATCAGGTAATTCAGCAGCTGCTACTACAAAGCAAAAACTATTTATTTTCCGAAAGACACTTTTTACAAAGAAAATACATAAGCTTTCTATTTTAAAAAGGAAAAAAAGGCCTGATTCAGAGTTCAGCATGAACAAAATTCAACATTCTGTTCCCAGAGCTACGATGTCAATGGTATTAGTGAGACTTGGTGAAATGAGTCCCGCAATTGGAGTGCTGGTCCAGAAGGGTATTTGCTGTTCAGGATGGACAGGGCAGGCGAGGCAGAGGCGTCGCACTGTATGTAATTGAGAGTTTTGACGGTACAGCCCTTACAGGTAAGGGATGATGTGGCTGAGAGCCTCCGGTTGAGGACTAGGGGGATGGAGGAAAACAAAGCAGATGTTGTTGGGGGCATCCACTACTGAGCACCCAGCCAGGATGACATTACTGATGAGTTATCCTACAGGCAATTAGGACAAATCTCTGGATCAGCAGTCCTTGTCTTTATGGAGGATTTCAACTTCCCAGATATCAACTCAGAATAACATACTGCTGCGACAAGCAAGTCTGGGAAATTCCTGCAGGTGAAGATAATTTCTCATAGCAAGTACTCAGACAACTAGGAAAGATGCCTTCCTAAACTTGTTTGTGAATAGAGCAGCACTCATGGAAGGTGTGATGGTAAGTGTCTGCTTGGCCACAGTGACCACGGAATGGTAGAGTTTAAAATTTTTGGTGTAATGAGAAAAAAACATCAGCAGAGTTGCTATCCTGGAGCATCCCAAGGAGCTAGTTGGCAATGTCCCCTGAAAAACTGCTTCTGAGGGCTTAGGGGTCCATGACCAGGGGTACTGGTCAACAGTCAGCTGAACATGAGTAAGCAGTGTGCTCAGGTGGCCAAGAAGGCCAACGGCATCCTGGCCTGGATCAGCACTAGTGTGGCCAGCAGGAGTAGGGAAGTGATTGCATCCCTGTACTGGGCACTGGTGAGGCCACAGCTCGAGTGCTGGGTTGAATTTTGGGCCCCTCACTCCAAGAAGGACATGGAGGTGCTGGAGCATGTCCAGAGAAGGGCAATGGAGCTGGGGAAGGGGCTGGAGAACAAGTCTTATGAGGAGCATCTGAGGGAACTGGGATTGTTTAGTCTGGAGAAGAGCAGGCTGAGGGGATACCTTCTTGCTCTCTACAACTACCTGAAAGGAGGTTGTAGTGAGGTGGGTGTTGGTCTCTTCTCCCAAATAAGAAGTGACAGGACAAGAGGAAAGGGCCCTAAGTTGTACAGGGGAGGTTTACGTAGGATATCAGGAAAAAATCCTTCACTGAAAGGGCTGTCAAGTATTGGAACAGGCTGCCCAGGGCAGTGGTGGAGTCCCCATCCCTGGAGTTATTTAAAGAATGTGTAGATGTGGTGCTGAGGGACATGGTTTAGGGGTGAACTTGGCAATGTCAGGTTTACGGTTGGACTAGATGATCGTAATGGTCTTTTCCAACCAAACTATTCTATGATTCTATGACATGAGTGTCAGTTTTTAAGAACCACCTTTAAAAAAAAAAATTACCATTACAACACAGTACAAGGTCCACCCTCTTTTAGGTTCATTCATGTTTACTTTTAGAGAAACTTTTACTACAAGTGACAGCTGTGTGTTTTATAGCTAACGCCTATGAATAGCACCTTTTCAAAAGAAATCAGAAGCCAAGAAACACACGCTTCATAGCACGACATTAGTATTTTTCTCTCCTTATCAAGAAGGAATTTACAGTTATCTGAATAGTATTTGAGAAGTCTTGAAGACTCCCTTATATGAGTGGCTTTATCTTCTTTAATCTTCAAAGCCCTACTATTTCTTGGAGTTGGAAGCCTCAAGTAGCAAATTTAAATCTCCTGTCAAAGAGCAAGCTTCAGTTTTGTAGCCACATTTCAAGAACCCCTTACAATCCTCTGCAGCGCTCAGATCAGCTTGAGAAATATCATTCAATTTGAGGAGCTGTTCAACCACTTGGAAGCTGAGGAACAAATGTAGGTTTTGGGACACCTCTACAAGCAAGTCAGCAACACCAGAAGGGTCTGAGCACATGCAAGTACGTTAGCACGACTGACTCCTAAGTAACATCAAAAAAATCAGCAATACCTGGCGAGTCAGCTCAGGAAACTACAGAGGCACTAATGTAGCTAAAAGAACTCATCTAGTTTGAACATAGTACACCATCTTCCAACTTCTGATATCGAGCTCAAAATTTTCAAGAATGCTGCAATTAACATATGGTGTTTTTGAGTTTTCAAATAGTTGCAACAGTTTCACACTTAAAAAGCTGAGAAATGAGACTAATTATGTTATTTCAGAGTACTTACAGTCAATGTTTTTTGATAGTATGTTATCTTTACTCGAACAGGATAGGGCTTGTTACGGAAGTCCCTCTGACAGGATGCCAATGCTTGTGTGGAACCATCACTATGCAAGAAGACAACTTGCATAAAACTATATCTTATGATTATGAGCTAAGACAAAAAAGCATCAATGTATCACCAAGCAACACCATGACAGTTTTTCAACATTTAAGTTTTTCAAAAGCTGTCCCACAACTGCTCTGAGCTTTTCTGAAGTCTGGGATCAACAGTACTAAATGCTTTACACACAATACAATGGGGAAGTCTGTTTGCTTCTAAGATATATTCCCACACCTGTGAACCGAGATGGAAATAAGCTACAGTTCAGACTGCACCACTAAGCCAGACACCTTTGTTCTCAGTGAATCAGAAAGATGTCAATTGTGCTGTTGACAATAAACAACCAGAAATCAAAATTAAACCAATTAATTTTAGTAACAGGCAATTAGCTTTCAGTTAGTCACTTTTGCCAATTATTAGCTGCGTGTGGAAGATATCCATAAGCAACAAAGAGGTAAAAAGTCTGTACCTCCATTTATCTGAGTTCACCCATCCCAAAGGACATATGCCATTTAAATACCCATCAGTTGACAATTTCTGTGCTATTGCTGCCAAAACAGTGTTTTAACAAGAAGAAAAACGCAAAGGTAAAGGAAACAGTTTCATATAAAAGAAACCTTTATAATGTTTAGCAAAGAGTTTCATGCAACATTTCATCATTCAAAAGCAAACATTCATCATTAACACTGAAAATAAACTTACTTCTGATGGTCATACAGAAGTTTTCCATTGTTGCCTACAACAATCACTCCAGGATTGTTTTTCTAGAAAAAAGAAATACCAAACAAATGGAATAGTTTAATTCAAAATGAAACATAAGTAACATCACTGATAGTCCTTCTGTGATAAAGCACCTAAAGTCATTACACTACAGATAAACCACTGATGTTCTTATTCTTTCTGTATTTCAGGATTACACAAGCAAAATGACTAAGTAGCACTGTGTCATGCTGCATGCTTTGCAAGAGACTGCTACATTCTTTGCATAGTTAGTGGTGAAAAACACGCACAAATTAAGTTCCTGGGTATACCACTAATTACCCTCATTTGACAAATACAGAAATAGAAAAGCCACAGACAGGAGAAATTAATATGCAGTAAAGACATAGATCTTGAAACTAACAGATGATTTAATACATCCAACTTTGGCTACCTAATACTGTGAAAAACATCCAAAGAGACAGTGTTGATACTCTACTGACCTTGTCAGAGTCATTAGAAAAACCTCAGGGGCTATCTGTCAGAGACTAAACAAAGTCTGTTGAATACATCCCCAGTTATTAAATTGCTAGAGGATGAGACAAGCTAAAATGACAATGGCAGAAGAGATTTACATTGCTATTCCGGTTGCCTCCAGGAGTTCCTGTCTTTCCCCTCCAACATTTCAATTCATCATCTCCTGAAGTGCACTGGTTTTGGTTGGGATAGAGTTAAATTTCTTCACAGCAGATCATATGGGGTTATGTCTTGGGTTTATGATGAAAAGAGCGTTGATAACAGCGATGTTTTAGTTATTGCTTACACAGCCTCAAGGCCTTTTCTGCTTCTTACAGTCCACCACCAATGAGTAGGTTAGGGGTGCACAAGAAGTTGCCAAGGGACACAGCTGAGATAGCTGACCCCAGCTGATCAAGGGATATCCCAGATCATATGGCAATACACTCAGCAATAAAAGCTGGGGAAAAAAGGAGAAAGGGGGAGACATTCAGAGTTATGCCATTTGTCTTCCCAAGTCATCGCTATGCGTGATGGAGCCCTGCTGTCCTGGAGACAGCTGAACATCTGCCTGCCAAAGGGAAGCAGGGAGCAATCTCCTTGTTTTGCTTTGCTTGAGTGTGCAGCTTTTGCTTAACCTATTAAACTGTGTTTATCTCAACCCGCAAGTTTTCTCACTTTTACCCTTCTGATTTTCTCCCTCATCACATCAAAAGGGAGTGAGCAAGCAGTTGTGTGGTGCTTAGCTGCCTACCAGGGTTAAACCACAACATAAAGGAATATACTGTCCCACTAGACAGACTGCCAGCTCTCCAGAGAACAAAACAAGACTCAGACTTCAAGAACTCAAGAAATAATATCCTCAATTCACAATTCTGAGGTAGGGTGGTCCTTTGTCTTAAAAAAACCCCAAACCAACAAAAAAACAAAACCAAACCAACCAAACAAAAAAAAAACCTGCCAAAAAAACCACCACCACACCATACTACAACCACAGTACCTGTTCCTTTTCCTTGATCACATAGATTGTGACAACAGAGCAGTACACCAGTATACAGAAATACAGCGGTGTTTCTACTTCTCAGCAATGGAGTTTGGTTAGCTTAATTGCTTTGACATCAGTATTACCTGCTCAGTACCACTAGAATAATTTAACATCATCTTCTTACTGCTTATTTCCATGTAACAGCAGTAATATTGAAGCAATTCAGAGCATACTTGCATATATTCTGTACAAACAGTTCAATTTTAAAGCATTCATGAATGCAACCCAAGTCTAACCTACCTTAAAGCACAGTGGAGAGCTACTAACAAAAGTATTCAACGCCAAAAGGATTTCTTAATAAGTTGAGCAATAATTTTATGTCTTGTCTTTGAAGATCAGAAACACAAATGTCACCTCCAGTTTTTCACCTTTTATATATGATTAATTTTGCTGTGTATCAAAAGCCATCTGTAGGAAAAAAGCTTGTACACCTATAAAAATACATCTAAAACATCTAAAAGCAAGCTAAAGTAGTGTAGGAAAGGCAAAAAAGCAAAGCAGACCTACTATATATTGTTAAATTTTCCCAGGATCCTTCTGGATTGGAAAACTGGAAATTCAAAAGAGCAACTGTCACTTGCATCTGCTACAGAATTTTTGCTCCTCAACTACTCAAGGCAGATTTGTTCCAAGAAAAAGAGCATCTCTGAAGACATAGAAATTTGTGTTTTCACAGTATCATAATTTGGTACAATACGCCTCTTCCAAAGCACACATCTTCAGATACATCCACATTCCAAATTGTACATGGACATTCCAAATTTCAGCTTGTACACATGTACAGGGTATTTTTCCTCCAAACTTAACACCAATGTTCAGTGGAGATTCATTATGTGTTATGCTTCAACTTTCAAGCTTAAAAAAAAAGGTGTGAAAAAGTCCAGTAAAAATTCTATAAAGGAAACTTGATTATTTATCCCTTCAAAATGAAGGAAGGGAGAGTAAGAAAATAACATCCTATTTTTTTCTACAAAGTTACATGCACAAAACAGGCAGAAAATTAATATATAAACTTTGTTAGAAGAGTTTGCTTCCAACTAACCTTTCCATCATTGTCAAAGGAATCAAAGAAAATTCCAACACCGTTCCATTTATCAGCTGCCCCGAAAACAGGACCTTCCAAACCTTGCTCTTCTGTAAACCAGATTGCCTATTACAGAAAGCAAGCAAGAGTTCTAAGTGAAGATTCACTTTTTAAAGCATGCCTACTTTTTTCTTCAGTTAGATCAAATTCTTAATACCAATCCATCAGCTCCAATGCGGCCTCTTCCTGTAACTCGAAAGGTCACTTCGACTTCCCAGTATTCAAATATTGACTTGTTTTTTGTCCACACTGATCCTCTTTGGCTTTTCAAAGACGTTGTTATACGAATCTGATCTGCACTTGGTATGGCATCTAGAAAGGAAAGGGACAAACACTGAATACGTGAAAGTATTGCAATTGCTTAACTAGCCAATTAACAAATCTTCTAAACTCACTAAATCTTCTGGTCTCCTCAACTAAAGAACAGTTTTCAGTATTTTTTTTTTTTTTTTAGTGGAGTACTCAACCATTCGATAGGGAAAAAAAAACCAACAAGAAAAACCACACTAAGCCCTCACACCTTTACTTTCAACAATTTAATCACTAACGCTTTACAGAAGACTTAATCACCTTCCATTTGAGGTTACAATGTACAACTTAAATAAAACATTGGTCTTGCTGATAAGTTTTAAATTAATAATAATAATCAAATCAGGTTTAGCTTTCTGATGTAACCCATGTGACTTCTGAACAGACCCAGGTTTCTGTTCTGCTTTTTAAAAACAGATGTTCTAATTTTCTGTTTAACAGTTTAAACAAATAATAGGCATACATTCAGAGAGAAATTAATTCACTTGTATTAGATAACATTTATTTTTGTGCTTATCTGCTTAATAAAGCAGGAAAAAAGCTCATCTATAGACACTTTTCTTCATGTCACTTGTATCTTAAAAGTCAAACAAGAGTCAAAAATTAACATTCACGAATTAACCAACATAAACTAAATCAAAGTCCGACAAAAAAATAAAAGCACAGCAGAAGTTACTGCAGAGAATCTATACTAAGGTAGATATATATACTAACCTTATGTACAGTAAATATCTATACATTTTACAAGGGCAGCAACTTACAAAAAGACCTGATGCCTTTTTGAGTACAAACAAATCCCTAACCCATACTGCAGAGGATACATAAATGGCATAAACTACGTTCGATAAAGTCGTGTTTGCCGAGGCACAATTTCCATTTCAAGCTTTTATACGCTGAAATTCTACAGGATTTCTAGCCATTCAGGAGTATCGGCAGCTTGTCCAGGTACAGCACGCAGGTGTGAGACCGACTTTCACTCTGGCCAAGTGACACATCATCACTTCACAGAGCT